AGCCCCACCACTTCTGTCCCCATGGGAGCTGCCACTCCCTCCCCCCCACATAAAAAAGGTGGGCAGTGTGTGACCCCAGCCTCCCCAACCCCGCCAGTAGGTGTTATGGGGGCAGAGTCTGGGTGAGGCTAGGCTGGCAGCCCCCCCCTTCCCCCCTGCCACATCTGCAGGCTCCCATCCGTTCTGCTGAGTTTTGGGAGACTTATGGTGTCAAGATGGACCATTTGAACTCTTCTGCTAACAGCAGTTGCTCCATTGAGAAGGTTGGGCTGAAATCCATAGACCTTTAAAGAATCCAAGGCCATGAAATTGTTAGAGAGTGAGAGAGTTGCTGATTCTTCTTCAAAGGAAATCTCCCACTCCATAAATATATCCACTGAAATGCAGGCCAAATATAATGTATAAAAGATGGAATAGAAGATATATTATGCTATTGCATAGCAATCCTGTCTGCGGGAATTTATAGCTGCGCTATGTTCCCTGTTAAAAGAGGTTCTGCCAGCTGATGGAGGCGTTCAATTTATCATGTGCCTCTTGCCAAGCATCAATATTATGGCGCACCTATTTACACGGGAGATGGGACCAGCTCTTTTGCCAGTGAGGCTGGCAGAAGGGTGCAGAGAACTAAAAAGTCCATCGAACATCTGTGTAGACTGGTTCCAATGTGTGTTGCGGAGAAGCTGTAGGCCAGGAGTGAAGTGCATTGACGGAGCTGTGTCTCGGTTTTGGTCCAGGACTGGAATAACAAGGGTGCCTCTGGCTACAGGCGGTTGTCGGTATCTGTTGGAGGGCGGATGGTCCCAAGACTCAAAAGGTAAGGGGTGTCAATGATCAGGGATGCATTATGGGAATCCCTGGTATGGAATTGTATGCCAAAAGTGGGTTGTCTCCTCCTTTTTCACTCTGTCCAAATATGCGGTTGAGAAAATGGATCAACTTCGCTTCTAATCCAGGCTTGAGATCCTTTGGGGTTGTCATACCGATGTCTAGGGCTTGAAGCTGGGATCTGTTCCCAGATCAGCTAGGGTGCGTCTACACTGCACCGTTATTTCGAGATAACGCGCGTTATTTCAAAATAACGATGTGAGCGTCTATACAGCCATTCCGTTATTTCGAAATAATTTTGAAATAAGGGACACCTTATTCCAAAATCTATAAACCTCATTCCACGAAGAATAACACCTATTCCGAAATAGCTATTTCAAAATAAGGCGTGTGTAGACGCCCTGCTACTGCTATTTCGGAATAGCCCCTCACCAGGGCCATTCTGAGTTATTCCTCCCCAGTGCCTCCTGGGGCTCTAAATCAAGATAGCACATCTGCATTAGGGAAGCCTGACTGGGACTCCCTGAAGTGTAGACATGCTATTTTTAAATAAGCTATTTTGGAATAACTATTCTAAAATAGCTTATTTCGAAATAAGCGTGTAGTGTAGACGTACCTACCTACAGATCTGCGCAAAGGACTTTTCTTTGTGCCTCACATTCTGTGTCTGTAAAATGGGAATAACACCGGAGTGTTCTGAGCCCTTAGTATTTGTTAAGTGCTCTGAGATACTCTGGTGGAAAATGCTACAGATGTTTTCTTTAGAGAAGTCAAATAGAATGTACACTAGCCAGGCGCACAGAAATGCAGACATGAATACACACTCACACAAAGACCTGAGCATGTGCAGCTGCATGCACACGCGCACATACACACAGAAATGCACTGGCACACGACCACCACAATAACACACAAACAGGCACACAAGCACATAGACACATAAACACACACAAAGACAGGCAGGGTATGCACACACACTTACACAGATGCAAATTTGGACACTCTCATGCATCCATCTATGAACATGCGTACACATGTGCACCTACACACATTTCTGCATACTTTCAGATACCCAATTGGGGTTCATCTATGCTGCAGAGCTATTTCGGGATACTGGAAGTATCCCAAAATAGCTATTCTTCATCTTTAAATGCTCCCGTTATTTCAAAATATATTTAGAAATAATGGACATGCTGTTCCGGCATCCCTGTAACCCTTGTTCCACAAGGATTAAGGGATTTGTCGAAATAGTGCTTTATTTTGAAATTTGGGGCTGTATAGGCAGCATCAAATTTCCAAATAAGCTCTTTCAAAATAACCTCGAAATAAGCTATACACAATTTGCATAGTGCAAATTGCTTAGCTTATTTCGAGGAAAGGGTGCTGTGCAGATTCACTTTTACAGTCACAGATTAACTACCATCCCATAATCATGTTGGAGAATTAAGGGGTAACCCACTAGCTAGAAAAAAAATCATTGCTGTCAATTTAGGCAGGTGGTGATCACCAAGATGGATGTAAATGTTGGAAGTGGAGTGTTTTTGTAGATCATGTAATGTTAATATATTGTTGAGCATCCAATACGGAAAAAAAATCCCCCAAAAGTCCATAACTCACAGAAACATAGTTTATTTGTGACCAAAATTGTCAGAAAGATTCTAAATACAGCTATGTACTCAAAACTGTACTGTTTTGGAAAGTTTGAGCAATTTTTAGCCCCCGGTGACATATTTTGTGCATTTTTGTGCTTTCGGATAAAGCAAACTCTGAAGTCACATGACAGAATAAGCTTGTTTGCACCATGTCATCCATCAAAATATTTGTTACTTTTTGTGGAATGGACAGATTTGGAAAATGTTTTTCTGTCTGCTATTTTTATGAAGTTACGCAGATAATAAAACCTCTACCCCCTAATTATAAAACATCTATTTTTGATTATATCTGCTTGGCTGCCAACATAAGTTTAAAGCACACCTGGTACGACTGTAATTATCTTCCTACTATCATTGAATATAATGACAATACATGGAAACTACTTATATTACAGTAATGACACTAGGAGAAAGGCTACTGCATGTCTTGTATGAATAACAAAGCTATACCCTGGTACTCTAGGTAGCTCCGACATAGAACTATGAGCTACTGAATGTCTAATGCAACCCCGGTTAGAGCCGATCTTGATTCAGCTACCATTTGGCTCTTTATTAACTTTCTGGCTAGGTCAGCTCTGTCCATGTCATGAGTTCCAAGTAATGGTCATAAGTTATTAAGCCATCAACAAGCAGAGATGTAGCTTCCTCCTAGATTGTCATCTTTGATTGTCATCTTTGATGTCCATGATTGTCATCTTTGATGTGTGACCATGTCTGAGTGTTTCTGCTCTTTGCCCTCACATGGCTCCTCCGGTAGGTGTCGGGAGCAGGCTTATAAATGACAGCCTGCAATTAGGTTCCCAACATACCACAGCTGATAGATCACGCTTGTTCTTGGGCTGGGAAAAAATCACAACACTCAGGTGAACGTTCACCTAGGCACTAGAGTATCCCTAAATAGCTTTCCCATGTCCTCACAGCAAGCCTGTTATTTCGGGCGCACTATTCCGGTTTCCCCATAAACCTCACTCTATAAGGAGTAAGGGACATTTTGGAATAGCACTTTGTTCTGAAATTTGGTGCTGTGTAGATAGCGGCAAATGTTGAAATAAGCTATTTCGAAATAGCCAATTGTGTGGCTCAAATTACGTCTCTTATTTTGAATTACTGTGCTGTGTAAACACACCCCTAGAGGGCATCTCACGAGGCTTCCCCTGAGCTGCCCTGTTCTTAGCTCCCAGACCTGGGGCATCAAGAGATACAAAAGAGGCACAAAGGCTGCACTAGCATTTGGGTTTAGAGCACATTGAACGTTACCTCTAAAGGTCATAGACAACATCAGACTGGCTTGGAAAACCGTGTGCTAGGAGACGGCCTCGGGGATACCATTTGGAGGGCACATTTGGGGGTGTGGTCAGAGGGCCATCTTGCAAAGGCCCTGTATGTAATTTTAAAGAGCTTAAAAAGGAAATGCAGAGTGGGAGATCTTTGAGAGTTTGTGGTTCAAATCCCGCCTGTTTAAGAAGGAGTTGGAATAAGGGTATCCCAGGTGAGCAGAAAGGTGGGAGATTCCTGTTTAAGATGCTCTCGTGTCACTCATCTTTTCCTTTCTGACTGTCCTCCCCCTTGCTTTGCTTCTGAGCCTTGTTTTGCTTCGAGGAGCTTCCATCATGAGCCTGTTCCCAGCATCTACTTCCAACTGAAATTGCTTATGCATAGATCAGCTATCCATATATTTTAGAAAAGTACATCTGCATGTCTATGAGTCTGTTTCTTCAAGAATACCTCCTAGACAGCAAGAGTTAGGACCACCAAATTTGATAGGCAGCTTCCTCTTGTCTTGAAACAAAGCCAGGGGTTGGTGCTTCCAGGAAAATGGGAAGTGCTGGGAATGGGACTGTTTTCCATAACGCGGAAAGGGAGGGGAACAGAAAGGAGGGAGGTGATACTGAGAGTGACCACTGGGGGGCAGCGACCCACAGGGGAGAACTATATGCAGAAGAACACTAGGGGTAGTCACACCAGGATCTGCCATCTTGCCTGCCCATCAGACTGGATAAGGATCTCTCCTGAACCAAACCATGCCCCCAAGGGTACGTAGACATGGTGGGGAGGGGGAGCTGGAGGTAGTCAGCCAGTCTGGCTGGTTTCAAGCAGGTTAGAGCTGAAGTGAAATGCTCTGTGGCCCATTGGTAACATTTTGAGCCACGTTGCTTTCCCGTCCTCAACCTCCTGCTGCTTCGGCATCTTAAATTAGGTTGGCTCGATGCTTTCCCAAGGGTAGGAGGCTGTGGAGGCAGCTTCCCGCTTCCACCGGGGCCTCCCCTGCATCCCACAGCGTCAGGACCAGCTCCCAAGAAACTTGCCAGAGAGAAACTCATCACTTATGCCGTGCGGGTCAGCTGCAATCACAGCCATTTGAATACTGTCATCAGACAGTTTCCTCTCGCTGCGACGTGCCGACGAGTGTGAATAAATCCTCGTCGAATCTTTCTCGCACGCTGCCTCTTGTGCAGGGTCTGCTTTTTATCTCCTGCGGCTCAGCGCTCTTATTTCACTCACTTTTATGCTCCGGTGTAAGGAGTAAAATGCTCTATAAAAACTTCATGGCGCGGCCTGTGCTCACCGTTGTCAAACCGCGGCACTTTTGGGGATGTAAAAGCTGGGGAATGAAATCAATCAATCATTATTGGATTTATAGAGCTTGCTGCATGCAAAAGCCCAACGAGCCGCTTTACATTTTAATCAGCGCAGCACCCTATCGAAACTCTTGCAAAACAGAGAAAAGACGAACCAAAAACCCAGCGAGTGCCGCTCAAGGCTCTGTAGGCCTCTTCTATGCATTTAAGGTGCTTATTTGACCCTGGTCACAAATATCTGAACACTGGACACCGCTGTTTGCCGCTTTTTGACCTGAGTGGCTGGTCAAAATTCAGGGTGTTGTGTATGTTTTGATCTGGAATAGAAATTGATTGAGTCTGGTATTTTTTTTATTTGTTCCTTTTAAGTAAAAAATATTGTTTCAGATAGATGCTCTTCTGAACTCAGGGGCTATGTCTACACGACAAGGTTTTTGTGTAAAAACTTGTGAAGACTCCACACCTCAAATGAGCTCTTGGACATTTAAATGGTCAGTTAAATGACAGAACGGAGAGTTTTTTCTACCGTAGGTAAACCTCCTTTTCTGAGGCATCACTGCTTTTAGAGCTACAGCTATCGTGCAAGAAGGCTAGTGTGGATGTATCCTGCACAAGAAACCCATATGGGAAAAAGCACAGGTGCGCATGTAGATTTGTTTGTTTGGCAAAGGGAAATGAAGCCGCGATTTAAATAATCGCGGCTTCATTTACATTTACATGGCTGCCACACTGAGCCGACATACAGCTGATCAGCTGTTTGTCGGGTCCCGCGCCCGGGTGGGGGGTTCCCCCCTCGGC